TGTGTGTGTGTGTGTGTGTGTGTGTGTGTGTGTGTGTGTGTGTGTGTGTGTGTGTGTGTGTGTGTGTGTGTGTGTGTGTGTGTGTGTAACATCAGATCTACATCTGCTCCACCGGTGCTCCCTCTTCTTTAGGAGGAGGCTCTAAATGAATGGGAGTGACATTCGCTGGTTTCCTCACACTGATCAGAATAAAATAAGAGAGTATACATGAGGTTACAAAAAAGGAAGTGGAGAGATGATAACATTAAGCAGAGATCAGAGAACCTACACAGAAATACAAGTGAATTAAGGCAAATTGTTTTTTTTATCTGGTGTGAATTTACCCAAGATGGTTATTAAAATGAGAATTAAAAGCAAAAGACTTTAAGAATGCAACTGTAGTTGGCTGTTCTGGTTGTTGTGAATCTGAAGCAGATTAATCAACCATGGTGATTTTTGTCTCTTGTGGTCACTGACAAAGAAAACATATATTGATAGGAAAAATTATCAGTAAATCAGTAATTAATGCAAAGACAGGGTAAAAATTCTCACTCCAACTAGAGATTCTGTTAAAGGGCTTAAAGTTATTTTACTGAAATAAAGTTTTAAAAAACAAAAACAATTGGATGGTTGAAGAAAGGAAGTGTAAACAATCACAGGAGTTATATTACTTTTGAAATAAATTCCCTTTCTCCCTCTGATGACTGGCACAGTGCAGCACGAGTGACTTTGCTTCTTTGTATCCTATCGTATTCACATCATGTCTTAAGGTGGAGTTTATATAACCTTTATATAATTATATAAATTAAGTTTATGGGCAATGGAAGGAAATCAAACATTTTCTTCAAATATTGGTGCTAATTAATTATTTATGAATTATTCCCTCCCCTCCAACAAGGTACCTCTTTAAAAGAAATGAGCCAGGGTACTCAGGAGTGTTTCAATAGTCTGCCTTCCTGAAATGCTCTTCTCATTAAAAGCACCAGTTGCAACCAGTACCTCCCACATGAACTCTTAGATCCTTCACTTAATCATGTTTACAATTAATAAATCTGCTCCTTGTGTTGCTATGAGAATCAATCTAACTATAAACAAGTGAAAGATGCAGCATCTCACCAAAATATCAACAATAGGGCTAAAACTTTAGCCTACATATTAGGAGAATGCACCTTCTAAGCATTTCAAAGCTAAATACCAACTGTGTAACAGAATGTGTGCTGGACTGCCAAACACTTGAGACCTGGACCTGAATACATCCATTCCAACAGAAGACTGCAGGTGATAGCAGACTGACTGCCTGATTTCATAGGCAGGCAGCAAACAGAGACAATATTTTGTTTAGATTGCATAAGTTATTTGCATAGCCCTTTATCTATCCAAAGTACCTGAAACTTTTCCTTTCTCCCTTTCCTGTCATGTAAAAGGTCATTGTTTGCCTGTGTTTCCACTGTGTTGAAAACCCTGAATTATTCATGTAACAACCAGGCCACATCTCTGCTGTTTGCATCCCTCTCCATCTCCATTTTCTGTTCTGCATTTACAGGCCGTCAAACAGAACCTGCTGCTCTAACAAACAGAAGCTGCTCTTAGGTAATAAACAGGATCTTTTACGGTTTCCTCTTAGGGCTGTGAAAATGTTTCATCTTGTTTCACACTGCTTTAGGGTGCAACTGCTGTAAAACATCAGATAATGGTCATATGATTTCCATGTCTCCATCTCTGACTTTCTTGTTTTCCCAGAAAGATTACAGGTATGGGCTACATATAATCTGAGAGTTACTTACGAGTACGGGGAGATCGGAACAGCCACAACCAACACATGGTTCCTTTTTCTGAAGAGCCGCCATAGACCTCTGTGGTATCCCCGAACATCTAGATCCCAAACGTGCAGGCACTAAACAAGAGACATGATTGAATTTATTAGGGCTTAAATCACTGCCTGTAAAAATCACAAGCAAGACCACTTATGACCACCTTGGCAAGCTCAGTCCAAGTGGATGTGTCTGTTTCAGACTCCATCTTAATGAACATGACGTAGATCTTCCCCTCAGAGTCAGGTAGGAATGAGTCCTCACATGGGTTTTTGGTGTGGTCTAGCACCTCTGCCTCTCTGGAATATCACACACACACACAAAATTTACTTTTTGTGGTTTACAACAACCATAAGCAAACACGCTGAGTGATGCCAGAGTTTGTACTCACTTCAGCAGGTTCTGGATCTCAACTTCATAAGCATCTTTCTTCAAGCTGTGAAGACCAATTAAAACCAAGTCTGTCACCATGTAGCCAGATTACTTACAAAAAACAATAGCATTTAATCACATGGCTGTACACACCTGCCCACGTTCTTCAGCTGTACATTGGGAACAGTGTTGAACTTGTGCTTTTTGAAATATACCTCCTATGTGACACGATAAGACAAAAACAGCAATCTTTAACAGCGGGCTAAAAAGATACAGCTGACTTAACTGCTCTAGTGCTGCCTTCAGACCTGTCGCTTTGTGTCAGGAATACACAAATGAAAAGCTGATAACAAAAAGCATTTTCCTTTCAGATCTTACGTGAAAATAGCCATTCATGTTGAGGCCGATGATACCGAAGTGGTAGGAGCGGGATACATCAGGGATGATACACTCTCGGCCTTTCCTCTGCTCTGGCATTCGCATCCACATGTCCCAGTCCCACAGCTACAAGCCAGAAAGAGCGCAGGCATGCACTTAGTCACGATCTTTTCGCCACGGCCTCACACGCATGCACAGCGTGTTCCTGCATTTGTTTTTACTTGTCAGCTAGACACTATTCTTTTTAAGGCCTACATAGATATTATTCAAGATTTTTAGAATTACAACATGACAATAAAATCAACAACACAATATATTAAAAATCCTTTCATGAAGCTCCTTTTAATCACTTTTCTAAATGACAAACTTTATTTATATTTAAAAGTTATTGAAGATTATTCACTTCACATATCTATTTATGACCACTGGAAGAATCCGTCGGTGATAAAATATCACAACAAAAGAAAAGACAACTTCAAGCACCTTTTCGGGTGTAGGCCATTTTGGCTCCAGCTCATCTTTGTAGAGGCTTTTCTTCAGCACCCAGCCCAGGCCGGGCATACTCTCCACCCTGTAGAGCAGGGCCGGGTCCTCTGCTGTGTGCTCATAGCCCTGATTAACACCACATATAGGGGAGTGTTATCATCTACATAACAAAGACTGGCGGGACAATGTTCATAAAAAGCAGGCTTAGAGAAGTCAAATAGTGAAGTCACTTAAGTGTGAAAATAAGGAATACAGATGATAGTCAGCACTCACCTGGTCGTTCCAGGCTGAAATACAGTACAGGCTGTCATCCTCATCCAGCAGGTGGATGGTCTGACTCAGAAAGCTACAGAAACAGAAAATATTGATAATGTAACCGTTTTCTGACAATAGACTGAATATAAAAAGGGGTCTAGTTTGCAGTTATGATTTTAGAAAAAAAACAAAACAAAAAAAACATGAAGAAAACTTTGATCTAAACAGAAGACCCGAACATACAGACGTCTGATCACTGAACAGGAACATTGTTCTGGTACTTCAACAGATTACACTGAGCTTTCTACCAGACCTTTCATAGCAAGTGGTCACTGTGATTGACAGCTGACACGGGGAGCTTCTGAACTGGACTTGTAGATATTCCTTCAAGAAACTACAACTATTGGACATAAAGAAGAAATAACAGGCTTGTTTTTGTCAATAGAACCAAGCTTTAATTTCACTGCTCTCTAACTGAAAGCTTGAAGCTCAAAAGCAAACTGGCGCAAACACAGATGATGGCCGCAAGTTCTTCTCCACTATTGAAGTCAGAGCTTCAAACAGATTGGTCAGCCCAGGAGGGAAGCTGGAGCTTTCACAGCAGCAAACACACAGTTCAAAGCACAGCCTGTCCAACAAAGGAAGGCTAGAGGTTCTAACAGAGCAGAGCATTATTATCACTGTCGATCTACTGCCATCTGGTGGTGAATCTTGCAGGTCAGCGTGTTAAAGGGCCGTCTCAGCTGACATTATAGAATCAAAAACATCTTTAAAAATTTCACAGAAGAGCTGAGGATGCTATGCAGAAAAGTTCCTTTAACAAAAAAATAAAGATGTATTTCCACTTTCTCTCCTCATCATTCCTTAATTAAATTGTGGCTAACTATAAACCACAGCTTGCTGCAAAAGCAACAGCACACAGTTTGGACACATATTCCTAGTATACATTTGGGTCCTTAAGAGTAAACATCTCATTTAATGCACAAGCTCTCTTTCTCTTGGAGAAAGAGATTGAGCACCAGTTTTACAGTGGGGCAAAAAGGTATTTAGTCAGCCACCGATTGTGCAAGTTCCCCCACTTAAAATGATGACAGAGGTCAGTAATTTGCACCAGAGGTACACTTCAACTGTGAGAGA